AACAGTTTGTAAGTTTTACATGGCATGCCATTCTGAGTAGCGTGATCCCACTCCGTGCTGCTCGGAATATGAATCATCCCTTTGTCCAGTATATTCACGTTGTATATTTTCCCTGCCCATTAGTCACTTAACCATCTTGTTTATTAGATCAACTGTTGTGGTGTCACAGTGCGCGTGTGCAAGTAACTTTTATTTAACTTAATTATGGTCAAAGTACAAGAATAGTGATGCTGGCGATTTGCATTGCCAAAGACATTCACTAAAGTATTTCCTTTAAATAAAAGATACAGGAAAAATCATGGTATGCATAGGGTTAGGTAGTATCCATGGGGTGGCCGGGGGGGGGGGGGGGGGGGTGGTGTCTTAGAATGTATTGCCCACAAATAAGGAGGGGCTACTATATTGTTGATATGACCCTATTTGGGCCCACAGTCGGGTGTAGCACAGGAAAGCACAGGTTACAATAGAAATATAAGTGTCAGTATTGGGTAGGACCTTAGAGGTTATCTAGTTAAAAACCACTCCTGACACGAGTGATGAAAAGAAGGCCCAGAGAGGTGAAGCTACTTGCCCTTGTTTCACAGCCAGTTAACAAAGCCAGGGTGGGATCAGTTCTCCCAAGTCCCAGCTCGTGTTACTCAATGGACTCCTGACATTTTTTAAATGTTTGTAGGGAACTGAGGCTTCTGCTACCTACAGGAAGGAAGGGTCTTCTTGGTGCCTATTACTCTGAGAAAAGTCCAGGATGCCTTAAATCAGACAGAGCTTGTGGTGGGGGATTCTGTGTCAGATGAAGTTCTGCCTGCATTTATCGCAAGAAAGGAGTTGCCTCACCTGGGGCAGAGTAAGGCCAGAAAGGAAAACATGCCGCCTGATAGAAACAGAACATTAGCAGGACCTCAGGACACTCGGTCTATTCACCTAACTGTGCCCATGCTTTTATGAGCAGGTGTTTTCCCTATTTAATACTAGGTCTACCCATAGAGTTCACATCCACCCAGAGGGGCAAAAGATACAAGGTTTGGGTTTTTTTGTTGCTTGTTCTCATCAGTGAGTTTTCCTTTTTTGCTGCTGTTTCACTTCATTTACTCTTGATTGATCCTGGACAAATCTGAAGCAAAGTGTCATTGTTGCTTTATATTTCTGCATGAGATCTGGTCACCCAAATCAGTCTGCCCAACATGAAACAGCCCAACTCCTTTATCCTGGCTCTTAGGAAGCTGAAATCAAGGTAGTCTCTTGGTATGGAATGTTCCAGAAGCTCAGGAGAGGACCCAATGTTCCACAGGGCATAGCTTTAATTTTCAGTAATTCACGTTCGTTACAGTACTAATAAAGACTGCTAAATTTAGTCTACCCTGGAGCACTCAGGAGGTGTCATCTGCATATTACCTTGCTGGGTGATTTAAAACACACTTTTAAAAATGCACACACACACACACACCTTTAACTTAAAAATACACATACATTTTTTTAAAAAAATACACCATACAAGTATAGCTCTCCCCTATGGAAGATCACTATATGGACAGAGATGTTTTTAAGAGTCTCATGCTCTACCGACTGAGCTAGCCGGGCCAGAGATGTTTTTATATAGAATAAACAAATGGCCATCTTAGGCCATTTCAGGATCATGTGGACACCCCTCACTTCACACGTTCTTGTGAATGGGCTCGAATCCCCTTAGATACCTTGTATATTCTATTTTTTACCCTCACACTCCCTGACCTCAACCATGCACACTTGATCCCCTCACTTCCTTTCTCAGTTTACCTTCCCAAGTGCCCATAACAGAATGAGAACTTGTCTCTGACTTATTTCAGGTGAGTCCCCCAGTCTTGGCTTCACATAAAGAACTCTCTACAAAGCCAGGACAGTCTGCCACAAGAGGCCACACTGACCTCATGAGAGACAGACTCTACGGAGCCATCATTTAGTTCTGCTGTGAGCCAGGGGGGCTCAGGGACAGGATAAGCCTTTACCAGGTTTCTGGTCGAACTCCACCCTCTACCCAGTGCAGCCCATGACACTCTGGCATCTGCCCACACACAGAGCATTCTCTTGAGCTTTTCTATTTACACTCTTGTACTTCTGCCTAATATTCCCATCAAAAGAGTCAATATGAAGAATGTCTACTTTTATCCCCTAAAACTCTCATGAGAAATTTTGCTGTGAAAGAAGTACCAGACACTGTGACTAGAACACACAGGTTGGGATAAAGCCAGCTAGATGAAACACAATAGCATTTGGGTATGTTTCCAGAGCTTAAAAGCAAACAAACAAACAAAAAGTCTGATAATGCTATCCTCGAAGGATTGAAGTCCAAGTGCTGTGATGAGGACAGACGGGGCATTATCTGCCCCATGGTCCCATGGTGAGTTGTAAGAGTTTTTACAAACTCTCCCCTGTCCTTCTAAAGAGGTATTGACATTGATCGAGTTAAAGACTGGGATGACTCAATGGGCACGCCTCCTGGCCATGGCTTGGGAGAGGGTCAGATTTATTACCTCTAACCTCCTGCCCTGATCTTCAGAACTGAGATATTTTTTCCCCCTATACATAGATTTTTTTAGTCAAAGATGTATCAACCAGTATCAATAGGCAGATGGAACGGCTCTCTGCAGGAAAAAAATAAATAAATCCCTGAATGGTAGAGGAAGAAGTTTTTAACTACCAGAATAAGGGCTATAATAGATATGGAAGAAGAACTGAGGGAAGGATACTGATACTTTTCTCCTCTAAAAACAAAACAAAACAAAAAGCATTAATAAACCTCTAGAATTTGTTTAACTTTTATTCTATTTGTCCTCACTTCTAATTCCTCCATAAAGTCTTTTTATCTTCCAACCAAAATGAAATTGTACCTGTGTGCTCTGAGAACCTGGGATACTTCTGTGTTCTTTTACAATGTTTACTTCGTCTGCCTTCCCCACCAAAGTGGAAACTTCTATGTAACTGTCTCAAGAGAGTTTAGCCATTAGAAAATGAGCAGTCCATGCGGTGTAAGGACAAGAGATTTATGAAAATTTCCTAGGGACCATTAGACAGGCCTTCCCTGTTGTCATGCCCCTTCTTTTCTGTACTCCACCCTTTGACTAATGTTGACACACAATATGTGAGACAGGCCAGTGTCGACATCTATGGTCCATAGAGTGGAACCCACTGAGATTGTGAGGGAGGAGGGATTTAGTTGAACAAGAGGCATGCATGACAAAACTTCTAGTAAACTATCTAGAGAGAAGCATGCAAGGAAAATGGTTATTCAAGGTTATTAACAAATTGGTCTATATCACCATCATCTCTGTAATTACCACTATCATTAGCAGCACCCACCCATGTCTAGAGCCTCATGATTTACAAAGTATTTTCATATTCACTCTTATTCCATGCTAGCAACAGTCCTCTGAGCACAGTTCTGCTTTTGGTATTGTGAGTATTGAGGTCATTAGCTTTTCCTTTGGCTTTGAAATGGGTATTTACATAGTAAAAGGGTAGCCCCTTATCATATAAAGTACTATATTACCTGTATATAATCTGGGAGACTGAGGTTATCTATTTGCACTGTCATTTTGTTTGCTATTGAGATAATGATAGTAACCAAATAAATAAATAAATAAATAAATGTGACATTAATCTTGAAGATTTTTTTTTTTTTTCCTGAGTTCCCACTAGTCTTCCTTCTCCTGGTGATTCAGTCACTTCTAAGCAGCCAGCTTGTCTGACCAAGTTATCTTCGTGTGAGTTGGGGGCAGGGCAGGAGCAGAAAGGAGGCATTTCTGGTTGTCATTTGCCTGCCACATCCTGTCCAGCTAGAGAAGGTGTTGACCCTCTCTAACCCAAGCATCTTCTTCATCAGATGGGCCATGAGGTAGTACTGATTAAGTGGAGACTCTGACAAGCTTTCTTTGACATCTAGGAGCAAAATAAATGATAAGTCACATAGACTTTTTAAACGAAAACAAGACAACACTCAGACTGGGACTTCTGTGGAAACTGGAGTCCATGGTTTGGGGACACAATTGATTAGGTTATTGGGAAAGTTACAGTGTATTGAGATGGCCCCCAAATTGAGCAAATTATTATAATACAACAAACAATCTTGAAGGTTTTAATATGAAAAGTAGCTTCCTAAATTACCCTCATATGCACCCAATATACTGCAGGCCTCTGGATAGCAATGTCAATTCAGACCCTGTGCCCAACAGTCCTCAAGATATCTGGATATCTTCCTTTGCCCTGTATATAGTGACCCAAATAAATAGGCTAGTTCCTTTTGGGAAAGAACTAGAAAAATAGCCTGTTCATCTGTCATGGTGTTGCAGGGTCCTTCTGGCTATTGCCTGGAGACCCAGCCACCGCATCAGACAGTGTCCCAGGGTGAATATTGGCCCATACCTAGGAGCTGTGCAAGGGATGGTGGTTGAATTATGACGTCCACCCTCCTCTCAAATACATTTCATCTCCCATCATCCATCTTCACTTTTTTCCTGCTGATTCAAGCTGAGTAATACCATGATCAGCATCTCATCTACTTTCTCCTGGGAATCCAATGTTCTATTAACTGTTCCCATAACTCTACAGATCAGGCCTCCTGAGTTGTCACTCTGACCTCACCAGTCTTTTCAATAATTATAACCTCTTGACTTTGGCAGTTAAGTGCTGCCTCTATAAGCAAGCCAAGGTCTGTAGCAATTTCTGCTACTGCCCTTTGGGCACTGCTGTGAAACACAAGCATTCAGTGGATCATTTGGCCATACCTATCATATTCACTGCCACATGATCATTTCCATAGCCTTTTGATCCCTTCATTCACTGTCTGTCACTATAATCCTGGCATTCTGGCTTCTCTCTATGTGGAGCATTACCTTTTATATTGTTCTAGGAAGTTCACACTCTCTCCTGGGATCTCTCCATGCCAGGGCATTACCAGGGTGTTAAGTCTTATATCTCAGGAGACTTACTTCAATTCCATAAATCCTTCTGTATCCATATATCTGTTGTAGGTCCCTTGATTAAACACCCTCAGAACTTAATTATACAGTGGTCCATTTCAAAGTAACCCCTGCCACAGGTTGAGGACCTTATTGGTATGTCCAGTAAGTAAGTCAGATGATAATCTTCTACTGGCCATATATATGTTGGGACCACCATTCCTGGCTGTCATATTTTGATTATGCCCAGCTCTGCTGTTCATGTTTTCAGCCTGGAGAAGGTTCCCCTTCAGATGCAAGTGGCAGAGGGAGTTTTTGGAATCCTGGGATCATGATGGGTAATGGTTGGTCCAGGGCCCATCTCTGGTCTTCTAGCCATATTTTGACCTGCTTCTCATCCTGCCTCCAATTGGGTTTACCTGCCAATTGTGCTCAAAAAACAAAAAAACGTCAGCCACTGGATCCATTTGATGGTTTTTGTAAGGTAGGAACTATGCCTGGCCCAATGGTTTTGGTATATGTGAGAACAGCCAACCATCCCAGAATTTCCAGCTCTCCAAGTGTGCACCAGAGGATCAGATGAGGCCAGTCTTTCAGTATGGGTGTTAAGGCAATGCTTTCAGTAGGAAAGCCCAACCATTTCTAAGAATGGAACTTGCTGTATTAGGAAACAACACTTGCCAAAGAAAGGTTCTTCTCTTCTCTTCTTCTTCTCTTCTCTTCTCTTCTCTTCTCTTCTCTTCTCTTCTCTTCTCTTCTCTTCTCTTCTCTTCCTCTCTCTCTCTCTCTCTCTCTCTCTCTCTCTCTCTCTCTCTCTCTCTCTCTCTCTCTCCTCCTCCCTCCCTCCCTCCCTCCCTCTCTCCCTCTCTCCCTCTCTCCCTCTCTCTCTCTCTCGTTTTTGCTTTCAACAAGTGATGAAACTTTCAGAAGTTTGCTGGCTTGGGACAGTCTTCTTCATCCTAGAGTTTACAATTGTGTGTGATCAGTTAGCTAAATTGTCCAGAAATGCAAAGAGCAGTCACAAGGCCCCATCCTGAGTCTCCTACAGAAGTCAGTTCTAATCTATGACCTTGACTGCCCTGTGTTCTCCTTTGAAGCAGCTATTTTGTTGCCTCCCAAAAGCAGGCCATCATCCCTTTTCCCAGGACTCCACAGCAACATCTTGCCAGGAGCCAGCACATTGCAGTGCCTGCAGGGAAAGCCCCACTTAAGGCCTTTCATTGCTGGTGCTAACTACTGGGCTCCCTGGACGTTAGAATGATAAGTATCTCAACCTTTAGCTTCATAGTCACAGGCTTGCATCTAACATGTGTCCTATGGTTATTTTGCTGGTTATGGATGAACTTCAGGCAGTTGAGAATTGGCACCCGGCTTCAGTTACCACTCCAGGAACTTGAATGCTTCTCTATACCTCATGAATCTGCAGAATAAGGCTGACAAGTGTTCAAAAACAGACCACCTCATGAGATTTCCTATACTTCCTGCTGCTGCAGCCCAGGTCACATGGCCCTAAGAAAGCCTTTCCCATGACTGGTCAGCACTTCAGTGGCCAGTTGTGGCAGAAGCAGATGTGAGGAGGAGTGTGAAAAGGCAAAATAATGAAGAAGAAATGCACCCTCTGCTTTTTAGTGGGGGAGGGGGTATAGAAGACAGACATGATGACTTAAAAAATGTACACATAGGCTCACGTGAAGTTTGCAAAGAGGGCTCACAGTGGATTAGAAGTAGCCCAAGCCATTGTGGAATCAGTCACATGCAGCTCCCTCAATAAGACATTTATTTTTAAAAAATATATATTTATATTGATTCCAGAGAGAAAGGAAGAGGGAGGGAGAGATAGAAACATCAATGATGAGAAAGAATCATTGATCGGCAATCTCCCGCATGCCCCACACTGGGGATCAAGCTCACAACCCAGGCATGTGCCCCAACCGGGAACTGAACTGTGACCTCCTAGTTCATAGGTCGATGCTCAACCACTGAGCCATGCCAGTCAGACATTTAAATGGCAGTGTTGCACTAGTCAAGAATTAATATCCAAGTCCTTTCCTGCTCTAAAACACAAGCATTCAGTGGATCATCTGCCCATATCTAGCATATTCACTGTCATACGACCATACCCACCATACCCTTCTATTCCCTTCAACCACTGTCTAACACTATAATTCTGGCATTCTGGCTTCTTTCTATGTGGACCATCACCTTTTTTATTGTTCTAGGAAATTCACATTCTCTCCTGGGATCCATGCCAGAGTATTATCAGGGTGTTAAGGCAGGAGATTGCCTTCAGTTCCATAAACTATTTGGGTAACTGTTATGGGAACAAAGGAAGCTATCCAGACAAACAGTTCACTGAGTACAGCTGTCTTATATGTAAGAGGGAATCACCAAGTTCAGGGCAGTAAGGAACCTGAATAGGCTTGTAGTCACCATAGGCAGATAGTCCAGATCATCTTGGAGAGGGAAGGTTCTTGTAATGTCAATAGTGTGTCTCAATGCCCAGAAAAATGCTGGCACCTAATTGGCATTCAGTAACTATTTCTGGAATAAGTGAACGAAAGCATTTTTACCTCAGGTTAACATTAGAATGAGAGAAATACAGTTATCTTCAAGTAAAACAGATATGTTGCTTTATTGTCTATAGAATAATCTTTGGCCTCTATCTTTGTCCACTATCCTAGAGAGAACCCATAAATAAACCTCTTCTGTCCCTCTCCTAATCATATACTCACCTTAAGTGTTCTTTTGTCGTCGTCTTCTTCTTTTTCTTCTTCTTTTTCTTCTTCTTTTTCTTCTTCTTCTTCTTCTTCTTCTTCTTCTTCTTCTTCTTCTTCTTCTTCTTCTTCTTCTTCTTCTTCTTCTTCTTTTTAAGATGGTAGTTTGCAGAGGGAAGAACAGAGTGTTCACCACAATGTGGCAAGGTTTCTAACCTGTGTATCTCCTCAAAGCCTCACGTTTGGTTCTGCCAAGGACTAGAGATGACCAGGGGACTGTAGTCAGTCTGGGTGGCTTTGCCACGACTGAAGTCACACTAAGCCAAGGTCTGTGGAGAACACAAATTCTGGGATGCCACAGCAGGTCAAGCCAGAAATTCCTGAGATTTTCAGTTCTTTTTGTCACTACACTCTGGAGTTTGTAAAATTAATTTATATTCTTCTGGAATTCTAAGACTCATCTGTAGTCTCTTACAAATATGGGACATGGAGTATATTCTAGTTTTTTGTTTCTTTAAACCTCACCTGAGGATATGTTTTATTGGTTTTAGAGAGAGGGAAGGGAGAGAGATAAGCATCAATGTGAGAGAAATATCAATCAGTTGCCTCCTGTATATACCCCAACCAGGGAATGAACCCACAACCTAGACATATGCCTGACTGGGAATCAAACCCACAAACTTTGGGTGTAATGCTCTAACCAACCAAGGCACCCAGCCAGGGCCATTCCAGTTTTTATCTGGAGCTGTCTTATACCTCTTGAGGTATAAACTGCTGATAGCATCCCTCTCCCTCTTTCTCCTTTCCTTCCTAGAGAGGCGGCTACCAAATTACCATAGAATAGTTAAAAATATCCTTCAAGTTCCATAAATATTTAATTGAGTACCTATTCTGTGCAAGGTCTCCTTTAAAGATTATGAGAGAGGGGATGTTTTATTAATGAGAACTAATGGTAAGAAATATATAAACAAAAATAATTAAGATCAAGCAAAATGTAAAATTCCACTAGAGACAAAAGCAAAGTGCTCTGGGGGCCTGAGGAGCAGAAACTTCACCTATTTGGGGAGAATTAAAAAGCATGTCATTAATGCTGTTCCTAGTTTCAAACAATAGATATAGAAAGAAGTTATATATCTGGTGAAAAGTATGAGGTAAGTAATGGGGTTGGAATATTTAGTCATGTTTTGAAACTAGCAAGGAAGATAATTTGCCTAGAGTATATGAAAACATGTAGAAGAATCATAATAGATGAGACTAGACAAGCATCTGGAATCACTTTGGAAAGAACTATGATTGGAGGTAGATGAGTTCGAAGTCAAAGGTGTTTCATATTCATCAAATATTCATCAAATCAGTAGATAGGAAGAATCACAGAAGGCTTTCGAGTAAGGGGGTATTTTTAGAAAAAAATTAGGCTTGAAGGGAGTTGAGGCTAGAGGTAGAGAAAAACATTAGGCATCTATGCCTATATAAACTGTGGCAATAAGTTTGGAGAGTGTTAATGAAGGCATGGGATAATACAGTGTCTGTAGACATAGAAAGCACAGTTATACGTGGCTATCAGTGGGGGTAAAAGGAAAGGGGCACCAAGGGTGATTGAAGATCTGAGACTGATACCTAGGAAACTAATGGGAACCACAAACACAGACCAAGGGAAGATCAAGAAGAGGAAACAGTCTGAAGAGCCCCTTTCTCACTTCCTGTTCCTCCTCTCCACCCCATCTGGACAGGCATCTTGAGACCACCTGCATATGAGGTCCAGCCTTGCAGTGGAATAAGAGTCTTTTTTTTTTTTGTATAAGAGGCTGGAGTTTTCTTACTTTCCTCTTGACCACAGTGCTTCAAGGAATTTCTGATCCAACAGATCACTTTGATCACACTTTCTGGTTCCTTAACTTCTTTAGGAAAAGCCAGCGAGAAACAAATTTTCAAATTCATCTGTCAAATGTTCCCAATAGTGTAGACTGTCTTAATCAATGAAAATAATCTCTACACACCAGTCCTATAGGGCCTGAACTACTCAACCCATTAGTATATAGAAACTTGAACTATGAATCAAATTGTTGACATTGGGGTGAATATGCCTCAAGAATGACTCTATTTGTCTTATAAATCCAATGAATGAATAAAAAACTCTGTATAACTGGTATAAATCACAATATTGGGATTACACTGGTCTACTTTGAAGGTAACAAGATTTTTTTAAAATACAGTCAATCCTTATTATTTATGAACTAGAGGCCTGGTGCACAAAATTTGTGCACAGGTGTGTGTGTGGGGGGAGGAGGGTGTCCCTCAACCCAGCCTGCACCCTCTCCAATCTGGAACTTCTTGAGGGATGTCTGACAGCCCATTCACATCCCTCTCACAATCCAGGACTGCTGGCTCCCAAGTGCTCACCTGTCTGCCTAACAGATTGCCCCCTAACCACTCCCCTTCCAGCCTAATTGATGCCTCACTGCTCCTCTGCCAGCCCAATTGCCCCTAATTGCCCTCCTTTGCCAGCCTGTCACCCCCAGCTGGCCTCCCCTGCAGGTCTGTGTCTCCCCCCAACTGTCCTCCACTACAGCCCTGGTCCCCCCCAACTGCCCTCCCTTGCAGGCCTGGTCACCTCTAACTACCCTCCCCTGCCAGCCTGATCGCCCCCAACTGCCCTCCCTTGCAGGCCTGGTCCCTCCCAACTAACTTCCCTCTCCTGCTGACCATCTTGTGGCTGC